AAATTGGGGACAGTGCTAACCTCGCCACGCAGCTGGCAACAAGCACATCGGTGCCCCGTTCGTTCGAGGTGCCAGCCCAAAGCGGCAGTTTCGTGGGGACCCTAGCACAAGTGAAGGTCGCTCCGACCATGTTAGCCTCGTTTGAGGTGCATGGGCCCGGGGCGGGGGGTCGGTCGCCGGTGAAGGTGAGGCTGAATGGCTAGCCTGTTCACTCAGCCATGATCCAAGAAGAGCTGAGATCTCACGGTTAATCGAAGTTTTGCAGGGCAGAAGGAAAAATCCTCCCAGAGGGGTCCTGCTTGACTGTCCAGGGGACTCCCACCTTCAGTTCCCTGAAGAGCTTATCTCCGAACTGGGGAACTTCATGACAGCACACTACCAGACCACCCATTTGGGAGCGTTCGCAGCAAGGAAACGGGTCGCGTGCTGGTGGGGTGAAGCCAAACCAGCTGAAGGGGAAGTCGAGGCGATGCGAATCCGGGAGGTCAACGCCTGCTGGTTGCTGCCCTTGAAACCTTTCAACCAAGCCACCAATTTACTCCAACCTCCGGAATTTATCTTCACTCGGGATCCAAACATCGTGACCACCGGGGACCCTTGGCTCCCTAAACCAGTAGGACACCTCCTTGAGAAGTCCACCGGGGAGAGACACCTGGTGCATAGCCACAGAGGACCAGCATGTGGGCCCAGGCTCCGGGGGCACCCCTTAAAGGTTCCAGGAGGAACACTGCTTGAAGATGGATCCGGAAATGTGAGACCACTCCTCCCTGAAGAACTGTGGGAAATGCAAGGTGGGGAAGCTGCTGTGTGGAACGAAACGCCTCCGTCAGGTCGTTCCGACCTTGTGCAAGCCATGGTACGGGAACCTGGTTGGCAAGCAGCTTTCCGCTTGCTCCAAGCGACGCACCGCTGGGAGGGATCACGAGCAGGGGTCTATGACCCTGATGAGATGCAAGCCCATGAGCAGCTTGAAGTGTGGCTGAGAGCTTGGGGTAGAAACCCCAAGAGACCATCGAATGAGTTGGCACTGGTCTCCTGGAAAATCAAAGAACCTATGTGCCCCCCCACTCATGCTGGTTCCTCCTGGAAAGCCGGTGCCCCCAAAAGGGGAAAAGCTAAAAAACCATACCTGACTCCCACTCACGAGCTGGTTGCCCCAGCCAAAAACCGACAAGAAGAAGCGGAGCATCCCCCCAAAGGGAACTGTGGGCCCCCAAGGCTTAAAGGCATCGAGGCCCTGGACCACATTGGCATGGAAGCAGTGCTAGCTAAACTAGCTGACTCCACTAGGAGAGTCTATGCCTCTGGATGGAAGCAATGGGTCCTTTTTAATAGTGGAGCTAAGTCACCGTTGTTCCTCACGGGAGAGGAGCGTTCCGCTCGGTATGAAGATGAACAGAGGCCAATCAGGTTCGTGGTTTTCCTCCACCAAATCATGGGACGCTCCATAGGGGGCATCAGACAAAGGCTGTCCGCTATCCGTTATGCCCACATTACTGCCGGCTACCCTGACCCACTCTCAGGGAAACCGCGGCTGTGGTCCGCCGTAGCGGGACTGCAGAGGTGGGAAGGGGCCCCAGCCAGAAAGCTCCCAGTTACCCCAACCATGCTCAGGTGGCTGAACCATCCAACGAATGGGTCTAACCGTACCGGACCAAGCCATGGTTAAAGGGGCCCTGTTGACTGGGTGGTTCTTCACGCTGAGAGCCAGTGAACTCTTGCCGCATGGCGATGGATCAGACCCGCTAGATCGGGCGATCCGCCCAGCCGATGTTGCCTTCTATAAGGGGGGTCAAGCCTGTTTGGGGACAGTAGCAGATGAAGTGGTGATCCAAGTCAGGTCCTCCAAGACAGACCAGTTCGGTCGTGGGCAAGCTCGTTCACACCACCGATCCGGTGGAGATCTGTGTCCGGTCGAGGCTGCAAGCACTACAACCTCATCGTTGGCTGATCCAGCCGGCCCAGCTGCCACAGGATGGGGACCACAACAGCAAACGGCTAGCTGGTCCAGCCAGTTCAACCGCACAAGGACCAACGCCAAAGCCGACCTCGAGGTTCCCCCCAGCAGAGAACATGCCAAAACCTTCGCCTATGTCGGAGGTCCCACGCCCATCGTCCAACTACCACCAATGGGCGCCGCCAAGACCCCCAGGCTACATGCCACCTCCAAGGGATGAGAGATTGCCCAGGGCGAAGACGCCACCCAAAGCTGGTCTGAGAAAACCACCACCTCCTCCACCCAGCGACTTCCTACCGCCGAAGCAGGAGGGAGGAGGAGCAGCGGGTCTGAGGAAGCCACCACCTCCTCCGCCCAAGGACTTCATCCCACCAAAACAGGAGGAGAGAGGGACCGCAATCGGTCGGAAGGCGCCGCCACCAAGCTTTGTTCCGCCAAAGGCAAAGGGGTCAACACCCTCAAGCGAGCCAAGAACACCGGAGGAAAGTGTAGGAGGAACTCCCAGGCATTTCGAGCGGTCCGCTCAAGCATACCAAACCAAAGGAATGCGAGAGGACCTACGGGCCCCCAATGCCGAGGAAGGAGAAGAGCCCTTCCGACCCTCCGGGCTGTTTGAGAGAAATCCCCAAACTTACCAGGGAGAAGGAACTCAGAACAAGCAAGATATCCGGCCCGAGGCGGCCCCCCATGGAGGTGGACCAAGGAGCCCGGAAAGGGGCCAGCCCAGCTGCGCTGTGGTTGGGAACACCAGAGCCCGGTGACCATGCGGACAGGGTGGAAGACCCCTCGCAGGACTATGTGCTGGTCAACGTAGACCCGGACTCCGAAGATGACTGGCATGATGTGGTCGATCCGACCAGTTGTGATTGGCCGGAGGTCAGCCAGAACTGGGATGAGGAGAACACCACGGATGGTCTCCAAGGGGATCGAAAGGAAGCAAATGATGCCTTCAACCAGAAAGCACTGGATGCAGTGAAAAGCTTCCTTTTCCACTACAACAACCAAAAGCTGAGGCAGCAGAGGAAGACCCTAGCACCCATCCCAGAAGTCGAGACTCCGTTGCCGACAGCAGTCAGGGAAGACTGCTTGGGCGGTGGATCCCCAAGGATCAACCTTGCCGAGATGGTCTTCCCGCCCGCCTGGGAAGCTATGACGTCGAGGGGAAAAGATCCGAGGAGCTACGCCAGGCCCAAAAGAGCTGTCAGCAAAGACACTAGGGAGGAAGATGCCCCCATGGCAGAGCCGCCTGCAAGAGACAGCGGGGAAAGCCCCGCCAAGGCGCCAAAGGTCGAGGAGACGAGGGACCAAGCCATGACGGGGGGGACCCCACCACCGGCTGGTCCAGCCAGATCAAGCCCGACCGCTCCGGTCGAGACACCTTTCTTCTCCTCAGAAGAAGTCGACTGGGGAGATCAGGAGGACGATCGAACTCCAGAGGAGTTTCAACAGGACATGGATCTCCTGAAAGAGATTGGTGATCGCATGGAAGCATACCTGAGGGCGCCTGCAGAGGTCAAAGCAAAGATGAGGGTTTCATCCTGGCAACGATGCGCCGAGTACCTGAAGTCCCTGCAGCTGCGAACGGACGAGGCTCCTCCACCCACCAAGCCAGGCAAGTTCGCAGCCGACATCCGGATGGGTTTCTCGCCGGAAGAGGCGAGGATCCGACATAAGTCGCGGCAAAGGGCGGCCAGGCATCACCAACAGCTCGCACGAATGGAGGGTTGCACACCAGCTGATATGCCGAGGTCTTGGGATCATCCAAGACCCCCCACTTTGGAACCCGGCTATCTTGCGAGAAAGGAGGCCGAGAGGGCGCAGAGAAGAGCCCAGCGCACCGCTGATTTGAGGACCAACCCCCAAGATAGTGCAGCGGCTGCTCCAGCCGATGATCCAAGCCACCCTCAGAACCAAGATGAATGGCGATGGAATCGGCAGAGCTACGACAGCCACCAGCAATGGCAGGGATCGAGCTGGGCTGAGGAGCAGTGGAGAAACTGGCGATCCGCCGGATACGGCCAAGAGTGGAACCAGCAGTGGCACCAACAGAACTGGCAGCCAGGCTGGAAAACTGGAGGCTGGCAGCAGTGGCAGTAAAGCCCTGAGTGAGCGATTGCCGGAAGCTCCTTCCGGAATTCATTTGAAGTGACCTCAAGACCAGTACAGAGTCCTGGGGTCGCAACATGCAACTCCCAAGGGGGGAATGACGGGCGAAGCCCTGTCAGACCTCTGGGCTGTGGTACT